CTAGGCAACAATCTCTTGGTATTCGAAGGAAGACGTATAACACGTTACAGCATATTATATTGAATACAATTAATACTTTTACCTGTTTTTACCTGTCACGGGTGTGACATCTATATAATAGGTATATGAAAGCACGCACGTGTTCGAATGCAACGTTGTATCAAAATTTAGAAGCGATTGGTGAAGAAGTTTCGGAGATCTTAGGTAAGAATCAAACGAACATTTACATTTTTATTTATATAGATTTCGGGAACTTTTGGATTGCACCACATATGTAGTAAGTCATTAAGTCATCAGAATACTCATAAGATTCATCAGCGCATACATAGTGGGCAGCAGCCATTTTGTTGTGATGTATATAATAAGTCATTCATTTTGAAGAGTGATCTGAAGAGACATCTGCGCATACATGTTGATGTGTGCAGTAAATCATAGAGCAGCAGAAATGGGTTGAGACTAAAGGCACAGTATGTGACTTGTAACATGCCCCAGTTTCCATGTTGTAAGACAGTTTTGCTGTTTGTGGCATGCTTCCGTTTTGTAGAATGCTACAATATATTGGAGTTGATTGCTGTTGCTTACCTTTCAAACTGACGGGAAATGAACTGAGTCCCATGGTACAAAACATCTGTGCAAATGAGTTCTGTTTGATTCTGATTGCTTAATGTTCACAGTGCCCTGTCTTGTTGAGTGGAAACAGACATGACATGACATTCTCCTGCAGTTATGATGATAATTCAGCACTGGAAGCTGTTGATTAGTAGAGTGTAGCACTGAAACGGATGAACAGCTTATACATACAATTCAGCAGCATCGTATGCTTTTTGCTGTACGTTATCTGTGCTCTTCTGCCATTACATGTTAGTAAATTTGTTGATCAGTTAGTTTCAGATAGATATATCACTTGGATTGAGTATATTGAGATAGATATTATGGACTGGTCAGATGAATACAAACTACGCGTATTGGACATTGCAGACGAGATATCTGTTTGCGGGATACTTGGTATATTGAGAAGAAAGTTTAATAAAGGTGGGTTGATTCTTCCTGTGGAGAAATTAAGTAGTACAGAGAATTTAATTGAAAGGATCATGAAAGACTTTCTTACATCGTTTCATTGTGAATATCAGCAGAGAAACTGAGCGGTCTATCATGAGATTAGAAGAGAAAGTGGTTTGGCACTAAGGCACCGCTATTTGCTTCAGGTCTCCTTTGCCTTAGAAGGAAAGAGCCAACTGAAAATTGTGAAGTAAGTTCCACTGTAATTATATAATTCTTAATAAAATTAGGCAGTGTCATTAATAATATTGATTGCAATTCAGATGTTTCATGTAGTGGAATGACACTTTTAATTGTACTTAAATTCAGTGCAGTTATGCCCCTCCCTCCATACGAATTTTCTTCACTGCCTGAATGAACTGCATCATAACCGAAGCTAATTCTTGGTCACTCTGAGGAAGAGAACTCTGATTACTGACACTTTTCTTGCCAAGGAATGCTTGCTTCATTTTGCATAAGATGTACCATACACTCGTCCCTCAATAACTTTGCATCAGCAGAGCTCTTCCTCATGTTTCACCACACGTTGGCTGTCACTGCATCACCAGAACTGATCCTGCTCCCTGGTCCTGGAATATGTCTTCCGTTTTGTGTCTCTTCACCATATAAAGTAGTGCACAGTGCACGAATGGATTTGCAAGTTGCAGCTGTCCTTAGAAACGTGTGAAGGTAGGCTGATGCATGCCGCTGCTTATCTTTAATACATGTGGTCCGTATTAAAGATAAGCAGCAGCATGCACACAGGGAGCCTACACAGAATAATACCTGAACAGTGCTGAACACAGGAGTAGCCCCTGCAACACTAGACATAGGGCGGGTACCCCTGAGAATTTTAAATTTTAAAATTTGAAAAAAAATTAAAGAAATTTTTAAATTGAAATTGAAGATTTTAAAAGTGCCAGTTTTTAAAAAATCAAATTGACGTGTGTAGATTAACAAAGATCTTGTACATATCTGACAGATATCAGCAGGGAGGATTCTGATATATCAAAACAGTTAACAACGGAGAAATGAACAACTGTGAAGACTAGTGTTTTTTAAATTTTAAACTATGTGCAGTGTAGCATCTGCGTGAGAGTATACACCTGATGATGGCCATTTACATCCGAAACATGTAGTGTAGAAGAAAGGAACATGAAAGAACTACAGTAAATTGTTGCACTAGGACGGAGTTTGTGTCATATATTGTGTAGAGTGTAACAGGATGTTTAAATAAAATATTATAAACTCCAGGGAGCTGAGTTAATAATCATTAATGGAAGTTCTTATTTTAGAGACGTCACATCCCACTAGCTCAAAAAATATTTCAATATATGAGGGTAAGTAAATAAGTAAGTTACAAATGGATATAGAACTTAAACAAATAAGAGTACTGATTTGAAATATACTTTTATTTTTCAACATAATCTCCCTGTACATTGACATTTTGTCCTATTCTTTCACAAGCCCCTGTAAACCAGCAGCATAAAATTCCTTCGGCTGCTGTTGGAACCAGGCAGCACCTTCCCTTTCTACAGCTTCATCATCGGGAAAATGTTCAGCCGAAAGATGATGTTTAAGAGGGCCGAACAAATGGTAGTCGCTTGTAGCAAGACTCATCACCTGTGACAATTCAGGCTAGCATATTGTGTCCATCATATTAGTGATTGAGATGCTGTAATGCCCGGCCCATTCTTTTCATTTTGTGTTTTGGGGTCAACATGCATGGCACCCATCATGCACAGACTTTGTGAAAATATAACCTGTCATGCAACTTCCATTCGGCCCTCTTAACATCATCTTTCGGCTGAACATTTTCCCGACGATGAAGCTGTAGAAAGGGAAGTCACCACCTGGTTCCGACAGCAGCCCAAACAATATGCTGCTGGTTTTCAGGGGCTTGTGAATCGATGGGACAAGTGCCTCAGTGTACAGGGAAGTTATGTTGAGAGATAAAAGCATTCTTCAGATCAGTACTCTTATTTAAGTTTATATCCATTTGTAACTTACTTACCGTATTTACGCATGTATAGGCCGCAGCACAATTTTCAGACAGAAATTATAGAAAAAATAATTTTCTTGGAATATTATTTCAGGAGTGGAAATTATTCCGAAATTTGGCAACGTTTAACATTCCTAAGTTCGCAACCAGCGAAAATAACGGTACCGCTCGGAACAAAGGCATTGCGGGGGAGAGTTATAACCTTTTCGCCTTTACTTGACTTGCCTGGTTAGTTCTGAGTGAAACATGGGTCAAGTAAGAGCAGGTTATACGTCTAAATTTAAACTTCAAGTGGTGTGTTACACGCAAGAACACGGAAATCGAGCAGCAGGGAGAAAATTCGACGTTGACGAAACAAATGTGCAAAGATGGATACTAACGAAAGATGCCCTTGAAAAAACGTCACAAAATCGACAATCTTTCCACGGAAAGAAAGCTGAATTTCCAGAACTTGAAAATAAACTTTTGCGATACGTGCGTAATACACGGGCGGATGGATTTTCAGTGTCTGTGGAAATGATTCAATTTGAAGGCCTCAAAATAGGGGACAATGAAAATTCCTCATAATGAATTTAAGGGAAGTTATGGATGGGCAAGGCGCTTTTGCCCGACATGATCTTGTAATTCGGCGACGGACGTCAGTAGCGCAGCGCCTTCCCAACACATACCAGGAGAAACTGCTTGCATTTCAAAAACATGTCCTGAAATTAAGAAAGACGCACAGCTACACCATGGGAGCTATTGGAAATGTTGATGAAACTCCTGTGTTCTTTGAAATGCCGGGTGAAAGTACAGTGAACAAAGCAGGCAAAAAAACAGTGCGTGTGCGGACTGCAGGAGCAGAAAAGCAGCGGTGTACCGTAATGCTTGGTATCACTGCTGATGGAAACAAACTACCACCATTTGTAATCTTCAAACGCAAAACATTGCCGAAAGAAAAGCGTCCACCGGGAATTTTGGTGAGAGTTCAAGAAAAAGGATGGATGACAGAAGAGCTCTATCTGGATTGGTTGAAATCAGTGTGGTTTCGGCGCCCAGGCGCACTTTTACGTCAGCGGTCAATGTTAGTGGTTGACAGTTTTCGAAGCCATTTAACTGAAAATGTGAAAGTGAAGATGAGGCAGGAGAAAAGTGATATGGTTGTGATACCAGGGGGGATGACTGGCATGTTACAACCACTTGACGTGTCAATAAACCGTCCTTTCAAGTCTCATTTGCGGCGCTTTTACCGGGACTGGAGATGCGGTTCCACGGAGATGACGCCGACTGGACGATTGAAGAAACCTTCATTAAGTCAAATGTGTGAGTGGATTGTGGCTGCATGGAACACCATACCAGAAGAAATGGTTTCCAAAAGTTTTAAAGTCACATCCATTTCCAACGCAATGGACGGGGCTGAAGATGACGCTGTATGGCTGACATCACCTGACAGCGAAACTTCGAGCGAGAGAGACATCGACAGTAACGAGTCAAGTGATGAACAGTAATATGGTTCAATTACCGTGGACCAACTTCAGAAAGTGTCGCATAATTCATTCATGTGATGCGAAGCTTGTTTGCAAGCAGAAGGGGGTCACTTTCAGCACCTGTTATAAAGCACGGTAAGTTTGTGTTATCTTTTTACAGTATTCTTATAAATGTGTGCATGTACAGAAACTGATGTAAGGGTATCAGCGACATGACTGCACCCTCGCTAGCGGGGAGGGGCACAGTAGTCGTGGAAAAAACGTTCCATCCGCTCTACGCTGCTGCCCCGGTTTCCTCAATCATTGAACACCCTGTATTACTAATTATGAATATAATTTTTTTTAATGAAGTGTGATTTCGAATATAAGCCGCACCCCAGTTTTCCTCTTGAATTTTTGGCAAAAAATGTGCGGCCTATACATGCGTAAATATGGTATTGACTTACCTACATATATAAATTTTACGTCACATTGTGAACACATGCTGTGCGCAGAGAAACAGCCGCTTGGTGTACCTGATGCAGCAGAGGGACTGACATGCAGAAGGCAATGCAGAGCCATGTGGAAAGGATGGATGAGGAGACCTCGGGGAATAAGAAATGTGACCGAGAAAGCAGATGAGCAGGACGACAGTGAGACTGTTAACATGACCAAGAAGCCTGTACCTTAACTGAAGGAGAAGAAAAACTTCGGAGTTTAAAATTGGTAGCGTATATAACTCAGAAATGGTAGGTTTTTGGACTTTGTTCATTGTCCAGTGTTCAAAAAAAACTAGAACATACCATTTCAGAGACTGGATCTTTTTCTGGCCTCTGGTGAAGGGGGAGGGAGGAGACCTATTCTGCTGTGTCCATTAGAAAGAGTTCTTTCTAGCCAGATGATGGACAGAGTCCAAAAGTCGAGCGATTCCAGAAACCTTTAGAATCTTCAGTTGTGTGTGTGTTCTTGCGAGCGTGTGTTATTTAGGGTTTATTTTACAATCATCTTAGTATTTTGGCTACGTAGCATCAGTTGGAATAATGCTTGATAAATGGTGAACTAAAGAATAACATGGAAAGGGTCAGTCAGTATAGCCAGTGTCCCTCCCGATAATCGAATGGAGCACCTCCTGGATAAATTGTTTCACATCTGTTATGTTCGTTGTTGAAATGGATGAGGAAGCCTGGATGTCATCATGCTCTGTGTTTGTAGTTTTGAATATATGGTCTTAATGGAATATCGAGATAATGTCAGCACAGTACAGTAGACCTAAGCCTGCGTGTTCAGTAGAGGGCTCTAAAATATGCCAGTCAGACTTGCCGGGTTGCCACATTTACATAAATTAGCTCACATATGCTTTTGGCTCGGATATTATAAACTGTGTGGCAACAGAAGGCTGCGCAAGTTGTGTCCATTTCACAGTCATTGTGTTTCAACTGTTTGCATGCTGAGTCTTCATAGCTAACCTGCCCAAGACAGGCTACAGAAGCACAGTTCTTCCTCCTCGACATTGTGGGGTCAAATAGCATGCACCCTTCAAGTAAGTTAAGGGTAACGGTAAAGTTGTCCAAGCACTATGCCATGAAGACATGGGGGATTGGAGGGGATTGGATGTATAGCCCCACCATTCTTCACTTCGTCACTAGATGGAGATGAGTGGTGAGCTTCATGCCCCAATCCCCTTTACCCTGTTGGAAGAGCCCAAGGTACCAATTGGATAGGAGGCGCCATTGGGACACAACTAAGATTTTGTTCATTCAAAGACCATTAATCTGTTTGGAAATACGCTCTGTTCAATGAGAGGAAGTGTCAGTGTGTCTGAGTAGGTGCCACAACTGTCTCTGAAATTTTCCACAATTTTACCCTCACACATCATCCAGGTAAGGGCACTTGTACTTCGTGGACACTGTGCACATTTTCAGTTTACTATATTGAACGGAATTTGTGCAGGTTATACATAGAATTTTACCACTACAAAATGGCTGGTATGTCACATGAATGATTCTACGTAAACATTAGATGTAGATTTTGTTACTAATCATCTTCCTGCTACGCCAGATTTTGTTACTAATATCTTCCTGCTACGCCCTGAGGTGTATAATGTGGTCCAGGGGTGCATCAATGGACTGTCTAGTGTCCTTATATGCCCTCTACAATTATATACTTTCCATAACTTTTGTGACTGAGAACTACCAGATAGAATTTATTATGTAAATTCTTCAATAAAAACTGATAATCCAGACACTTGTTCCATATGTTTCTGTCTATGGGTAATTAGTTTAAACAGGCTGGTGTTTATCATTCTGGCACAAACTGAATGCAAATCTAATCTCAGTTATTCATGAATAGAACCAGAATATAGCAACGGTAAACTGTAGTGTTGTCACTTGGTAACACAATATTGAGGCGCGCCATAGCTCAAGCGGTTAGTTGCTGGCTTCCCACCTCTGCAGCCCGGGTCTGGGATTTATGGTGGGCAAAGTGGCGCTGGGCAGGTTTTCTCCGAGTACTTAGGTTTCTCCTGCCAATCTTCAGACCAGCAATTGCTCCACAATCATCTGGGGCTGGTTCAATAGGCCAGATGTGGCCACAGTACAAGGGACTTAGTCCCACCCCACAAGCAGTAAAAAAACGCAATATTGAACTTTGCCAAAAGTGGTTCCTGCAGTATATTATTTTGATGCTTGTTGAGTCAAACTGTCTTTTAATAACTTTTCAAGTTCATAATCTCCATATTCAATAAAACTAATTTCAGAGGATCCATACTAAAATGTAGATTGGAAATTAACTTTGTTTTTGCTGTGGTGGGACTAGTGTTTTACAAAATGGATATTGGTGTACAAGATACAGAAAATTGATAATAGTTGTTCTAATATGTGGTATACAGTGGCTCAGTATAAAGTAGTCTGAAACACAAAGTGACAAAGCAACCCTAAAATGTGCTTATAGGCATATTCATTGTGAGTCTTCACACTGAAGGCATGCTTCAACTTGTTGATCCAGTTTTCAAACATCCATTGAATAAGTAGATTACAGTGGGATTGTCGATGCTCTAAATGACAGCCACATAGAGCTGTAACAATTCTATTAAATTGTAGAAATTGAATGTACAGAATAGCTGCGAAGCCATATGGAATGTTCAAAAGCTGGCTGGCCATGAAAAGGGGCAGTTTGTTCCACCGTGAGTGCGTTGGCAGAATTTGCTGCTTCATAGTAGACCAAGTCTTATGGCCGTTTATGTGGCCTGTCTGGCCGGTGATGTAGTGCTGCACCCGCTGGTAGAATCAGCTGCCTACAGTGCATTTGCTGCTTTTGCGGCAGCTGTGTTAGTTGCCTGGTCGCAGAGTGTAGTCACTGGAGAGTTGCTGCAGCTGTCTTGGCGCAAAGAGCTGATGACTGATCGCTCTGGACTGAATGTGATCACTGAATATTGCTTGTCAATGAATGAATGAATGAATGTATGAGGGGTAGGCCTTCTCAGCCCTTGCACCTAGACCTCAGTGGTCCATTGTGCTTCCCATTTTTAATTATTCCCTCAGCAACCCCACGCCTCGAATGAAGCGCAGGATTTTGGATGTGGGGGCGTCAAAATAGTCACTTGGTTCCATAAAGTACTGACCCAAGTGACATCTTAAATAAGCTAAAGCCTCACATTCACACAGGACAAGTGTGGCTGTTTCATTTTCTATCTGACACCTAGTCCCAGTTTGAACAGGTGTCCTTTGAGGTGACAGTGTCCTGTAAGTAGTCCTACCACCCATCGTAGCTGGTTCCTGTTGAGCTTCAGTTCCTTCGCTCTTTTAGCGGAAGGTCCTCGTATGAGTCCCTTAGCTTGCCTGATTGCCTGTTTGGCAACTCCTAGAGAGATGCCACAGGCTGGTTCAGGTCCTATGAACGGATGTTCAGCTCCAATTTTAGCTAATTGGTCTGCTGCTTCATTTCCAGCAATACCCTCATGCACCGGCACCCATATCAGTTGTACCCTCTTATGTTTGGCCAGTTCCATGAGGGTTTGGTGGCAATCCCAGACCAATTTTGAATTGATCTGGTGTTTGTAAAGCGCTTTAAGTGCAGCTTGGCTGTCAGATAGAATGTAGATGTTCCTATTTCTATAGTTCCTGTCTAAATTCTCCATAATACATGCTTTAATGGCATATACTTCTGCCTGGAATACTGTCGTGTACCGCCCAAGGCTGAAACTAAGTTTCCACCTCATGCCATGGCAGTACACACCAGCTCCAGTGCCCTTATTTGTCTTGGAACCATCTGTATAGCAGATCAGGCCCCCTTTTCTGTCGGCCTGAAACCCGTTTTCCCATTCACTCCTGTCAGGAAATCTGACCGTGGAGGGTTTTTCATATACATGTCTCAGTATCATGTTGTCAGACCCCATTTTCAATATGGGTTCTTTTTTCATGTCCTGAGTCATGTCTGCATGACCGAAACCATCAGATCTAGGTTTCCATTGTCCACTGCACTGGAGACGGTAAATTCCTGCCTTGGCCTCCGCTTCCAACTGTATATGCAGTGGGGGGAGTCCAAGAAGTATCTCCAGTGCAGCTGTTGGAGATGTTCGAAATGTTCCTGTGATACATAAGCAAGCCAACCTTTGCAATTTGCTAAGTTCTCTCTTGCTTGTCTTGAATTTAACTCTGGGCCACCATACTGTGGCACCATAAGTAATTATGGGTCTCACAACCGCAGTGTATATCCAATATATAACGTGTGGCTGCAGTCCCCAAATTTTACGAAGCATGCTTCTGCATGTCCAAAAGCCTTATAGGCTTTGTTAATGACTTTGTCCAGCTGTTTTTTCCATGTCAGTGCCTTGTCTAATTCTAGACCAAGGTACTTGACATAGCTGGAGAGCTAGATTGTCTTATTGAAGAGAGTCAGTTCCTTAAGACCCTTTATATTTCTCTTCCTGGTAAACGGTATAATTACCGTCTTGTTGGGATTGATGGAAAGACCTGTTCTTTCACACCATCGTTGGACCATGTTATAACCGCCCACGGCCGTCACTTCTCACAACCGTTGTTCACCACTTCTCGTGACCGTTGCCTATCTTTATATTTATTTATTTGTTTGCCCGCTTCGGTAGAACACTTTTGACTCTTCTCAGGGTTGTGCCACGGTAATAACTGGGGCAACGCGGAGACTGCACATTTAAAACTAGTCCACTGATACAAATAAATACTCTCTTTCTGCTTAATCACAATATTGTTTAATTCAGAATCAAACTATAACTTTATCGGCGAGTAGGGAGTAATGTGCCAAAGATTAATCGAGCCAAATAAATACTGTTAAATTTAGATAAACTTAGAGAGAGCAGGTAAATGACGTCTGCCTCTGGTGAATTCTAAGTGCCAAGTCCGATACGTCTGACTCTGATGAATTCTGAACACCAACTCCTTCTGCCCACTCTATCTCCGGGAGCGTCACTTCTTACCGTATAGGATTTGAACCGACGGCCTCTTTCCCAGACAAGAATAGTCTTCTAATGGCTGATTTTAACTGCCAAATCATGATACCATCAGTACAAGACAATCACATTACTAACTTTGAGAATGAAGAGATCCAGAGATTTTGAACCCGGGACCCTACATGTGAAAGCACTTATGTCTTAGTTTAGGGCAGACAACAAACATATCCTTTTCATAATTGCCTCGACCCTCTAACGGTCACCCAAGGTCCAGGTATCAAAATAAGTTGTTCCTGTCCAAATGCGAAATGCATGTCAACTTCTTAATGGATGGGTCACCCTTATAAATCAGTCACTCTATTGAAATGACTAACGTGGAACACAGTGTCCATTAAGAGTATTAAAAGGTTTGGACGGTTACAATGTACAGAGTTGTTTGAAGACTCTCTGATACGGTCGAAAGGAATTTTCCATTTATGAGGTTTGCTATGTCATCAGCATATCCTACTATATAATAACCATCATCATTAAGTCCCCACAGGAGATCGTCGATGACCAGACTCCACAGCAAAGGCGAAAGTACACCCCCCTGCGGACATCCCCTAGACGCGGACGCCCCCAGGGTTTCTCCTGATAATGTAGCAGCTATGGTTCTGCTTTCCAGCATAGCATTGATCCATCTGCATATTGCAGGTTCTATCAAAAGCTCCCTCTATATCATGGAATGCTCCTAAGGCAATGTCCTTGTGTTCAATTGCACTTTCTATGTGTGTTACCACGTTGTTTAGTGCACTTTCAGTAGTTTTACCAGTTTGGTAGGCGTGTTGGTTTCGGTGTAGAGGATATGTCCTCAATACCCCGTCCCTGATATGCCTATCCACTAATTTCTCCATTGTTTTCAAAATGAAAGGCGACAGGCTGATAGGACGATAAGCCTTAGTCTCGGTATAATCAAGTTTCCCGGGCTTTGGAATAAACGTCACCTTATCTTGCCTCCAGGTCATGCAGGCTCTATGTATGCGGCATAGGTGTGGACTAAGAGTTCTACCCCTTGACGGTAAAGTGCCGGTACAATTCCAGCTGACTTAAATGGTCTGAAGGTGTTCAGTTCCCATTTGAGTTTTGATTGGTTAATTATGACTTTGGCCAGGTTCCAGTCTACCCTGTTTGTTTTACTTTGGTAAGTGCCCAGGTTTTGCTGACACTGTCCATCCAAATTATCAATCAGTTTTGAATCAGGAAATTTGAAACGTGAAAAGGTCTTGAAGACCGAAATTTGGTTTATGGGTAGGACGTACCGACTCAAAAACACTATAACAGATATATCAAATGATAATATGTATATTAAATAATAAATGCGAATACAATGTAAGTCCCTGCAGGTAATAGGCCTCTGACAATCAACCAATCACAATCTTACAGACCAGGAGAAGAGTGAATCGACTGAACAGTTCAAGCTCCCACAACAGGATGGAACACTCGCGGTGGACCTCAGCCGACGGAAACCAGGAAGTGGAACATTGGATGGGGGTGGGGACGCCCTCTTACGTAACGCAAACACGGCGTTACATCCTCCCCCTCTCAAATTCACCCATGGGGGTGACGCTAGGTTGAAGGGGGGTTCTGCTGATTACTGACGGCAGGAGCGGTGGGTTGCATACCGATGGTGTATAATATCAGGTGACCGTAACACACCTACATAAGTCCCGCACTGGGCGTGCTCACAACGATCAACTAGTGTAGATACACTCGATGCCACAGTCCGCACTCTGTACCAAAAGTGCTAATAGGTGTCCGCGGC